TAGACGATTCAGAAGTACGGTCACGTAGATTTCCTATGAGTCATTCTACCATGAGACAACCTACCGCCGGGAAATCGATTCGGTATAGTCTAATTTACTTTAACGGCGCGGTGGCGGCTCGTATCATCTTTTGTTAAAAATGCAATCACGCGATCACCATTAACTATTAATATTTCAAGAGGAATTCTCCAGCCGGACATTCTGTCACTATTACCCCATACATTTTTCTAATCGATGTCTTATTTGTATCCAATTCGATTCAGTTACAGAGTACGACGATACAATCATTGTTGTTTTTTACCGTAGAATTTTTCGTTATTCGTTTCGCCTTCTTACAACGTATGAACCGATTGAAGTAAATCATTTCTTTAGCGGGCACTGAATATATTAATTAAATGAGTGAAACGTGGATTTCGCCGGTTTGGTTTCTCAGAAGATCTGCGTTAGATATTCATGTTAATTAATGTTAAATATTCGATTATATTTTCAAATATTCGTCCTAACATTAGATATTCAATATGTGCGTGATTTTCGTACGATTGCAGGCGTGCAAGGAAGAAAAAAAGAAGGAAGTCAGAGATAACGAACGGAAGTCGCGGAGTTGCACGTCGCACGTGCTTGGCGAATAAGCATCGAGAAAATTGCCGTAGGATTATCCTCTCTTCTTTTGCTTTCTAACACGCTGTGACAGCCGCTTTTCTGGACGAAGGAAGCCCCGACTGACCAAGCAAAACGTCTCAAAAAGGAAATGTCAAGGTACTGCTTAGAGTGGTTATGTTTATTGCTCTTAGAAACTGTCCCATGATTTTCTTTCCCACCCACGCTTTCGAAAATAAGCTCCGTAAAACTTTCGCAATTTTCGCAGATTTTCTTTCCACGCTCGTTATATCTCCACTCGTTCCTGTCGTTCTCCTCTAGCTGGATAAAATTTCGAATTTTCAAACAGCTTAATCGCGACCAGATTAGGTACTTCCACCTAATGAGCATTAAAGTATAAAAGTAAAGCTGTAAAATTTATAAAATTAGAAGTTAGAAATTTGCCCTTAATTGGTCGGCAACACGCGATTAATTCAATATTTTCCAGCGATAAATATAAAGGTAAAAGTAAAATTATAGAAGTTGTATAACTAGAAATTTAAAATTCTCTTTGTACAATTTCCAAATAAGGTAAAATAAATTGAAGAATGTTGCATATTTTTAACGCTATACAGGTAATCGATAGAGCGTTCGACGATTCGCAAATGCGCTTTATCAACGGTCGTCACGAGCACCGCGGCCAATGACTCACGATGAATAACCAAGGTTTTGTAGTAAATGTTAAACGACTTTTCATCGAGTTCGAGGATGGCAAGGATGGTAAAATCCTTTGACTGACAATTTATCGTGCCTCGCCGCCCTACGGTAATTAATAGGGTGATTAGAAGTTTCTTTTTTAACAAAGGAAAACGTCAATGCATCCTGTTACGTAATTTACAATCGTAATTTATATACACGATGTTATTCTCCAGAATATTCTTCCATGCTGTTCTTGAAAAATTAATTTCAACATTCGCGATAATATTTTTTAACTGCGCTATACTACGAATAATTCTCCATATGAATATAATTGTAATTCACTTTTCGCTTAAGTTCTTATATTCTATATCGAATGTTCCTCAATTATCTCGTCGAAAAATCGATTTGGAAATCAACCCCCATTTCCTTTCGTTAAATTTACAAATGTGACGCGTGTCGTGTAAATAATCTTTTACATATATAGCTAGAATTCATCTTTTTATAAAATTGAAAGAATTTGCGAAATGATAAACAGTCATAAATAGTCGAGAGACGTTTAGGCAACGAGGATTTTATTCCGGCGAATCTCTCAATTTTTCTCCCTCGTATGTTTGCATTTCCCTCGGCGAAGTACTGGACAAAAAAAAAACCCTTGAGAGACGTCTCGATACTGCCCACGCGTTTCTCGTTCGAATCGACGACACGCAATTTTACGCAAGTGTGTGTCTGGCTGCGTGCGCCCTGCGAAAGCTCGCAAGCTCTCTCCGAAGGGTGAATGGAGCCTCTAATTTAGTCGGTGCCACGACCGCCCTACGCTCCGTACGGTTCTACGCTCCCGTACACTCGCAAAACTTCGTCTCTGCCAATAATTTTCCCTCCCAGTGCTTCGATCTGTGTTCCATCGATTTTCATTTCATTCATTGCGGATTTACATCAGTTTCTCTTTATACTTATGACCTCGACTCCACATCGCTATTTCTCAACCTAATTGAAATACACGTCGAGATACACATTAAATTCGACGAGTGATTCATAAGCAAACAGCGAACTTTTTTAACAATTCGCCCATTTATCTTATCGTTGAGTCAGTTGTAAGGATATTATCGAATGTTAGCGGAAAAAGTGTTTATTAAAAGGCAGATGGTTTTGTAATCGAAGTATTCAGTGCTGTCGGGCAAACGTGAGCGAGCAACGTGTATCCGAAATATTATTTTCTGAAAATTGGAAAGTACAGAATACCTGAATATTTTTTTTTTTTTTTTAACAATTACCGTTGTACGATCGATCAGTCGATTAGTCGTAAAGTCGTTCGTGTAATTAACGTACTCAGTGTTATCGAGTAAACGTAGTCAATCGACACGCGTTTTAGATATATTTTCTTGAAGGTGAAAAGTATGGAAAACACGGATGTTTTCTGTTAAGAATTACTTTGTACGATCAATCATGTCAAAGGACGTTCGGGTATTTACGGATAGCAGAATTGGCTCCGCTCGTCCATGACATTGATCTCGAATCAATTAATTTACGAATCCGTCGGATAAAGAAGGGGTAGTTTCGAAGATTCGGCTCTGCTACGGTGGTTTATTGATTTTTTCAGCCTGTACCGGTGTTACAACAATGGCAATTGATCAGTATTGTTGAGTGACAGGGATCGGTAGGCAGCTTCAGAGAAACCGCAGTTCGTTGAACATCAGCTTCGTGGAATACAGTACCGGTACTGTGTTATATGAGTAATTATTGCAGTATGCTGCTACTCAACATTGACTCAACTTAAAGGGAACGTTGAAAGACTCGTTAGAAAGAGAAATACATATCGACGAGGAAAGATTGAAAGAAAGAAGAGAAATATTTCAGAGGATACAATTTTAGAGAAACAGGACAATTTTAGATGTCGAAATTATAAATTACGATAGTAGAATTTTGTTTGTGGAAATTTGGAAGATAGGAGAATAAATAGAAGCAGAAGAACCAATTCGACAGAACGAATATTGGATGTCGGCCGTATGGCAGGGATGAATGGGCGACATCCGGTTTTCTGATTCACTGAGATATTCTTGAGAAACGCGTAAGACACGCGCGTAGACGTTCGCTCGATTCAATGTTGTCTTAACCGATGAACAATTGATAAAATCGAGCCAATATTAACAGACTATTGCTTTTTAATTCGGAGCAAGATCGACGCTGTTTTGCATCATGTGTCTGTCACGAGATAAAGGAAGATTGCTTCATCGCTTGTTTTACGTCAATCGATCGATATTGCTTGTGTGAAGAAAGAATCGTAGAAAAATCACGGTCGTTTAACGATTTCAAACGGATGGAAAAGTATAATATCGACGCAAACATGAGGCAGTGTTTCGACAGAGTTTTTATACACGGTAATATGTAACAAGATGATCGAATTTTTCATCTCTTTCTTTTTTTTTTTTTATTCTTTCGTTTCTTCGTGACAAACTTTAATTTCATAGAGTATACGTGCGTGGAATGATTCATCCCCAAGATGCGTCAGCGCATCAGAAAAATATTTCTTTTAATGTTAACCACCGTGACGGGTATCCATGACCCATAAACGCTCTTAGGGAGATACGCGTGTTCTTCTTGCTTTGATTTATTCATAAACTGAATTCCCTTAACGATAGAAGTAATATAAATAGTATAATCCCCTTTGTTCATCGCGACAAACTCTCTGTGGATATATGTATACTGGCGCTCAAAAGTAATCAGACACTTGTTTATCTTTGTAATTGTGTAACCGAATTACGAAATTAAAAGTGAAAAGGTCTGCAATAATTTTCTTCTTGCCGAGCTATACGTAATAGTATATTACAACGAAATAAAGTTCATTTTTAGAAACCAATATGCAACGATAAAGTTGTGATGTTCGTAGAACAATTTTGTTTGGTTGAAAAATTGTTTGTCTTTAAGTTGTTTAATTTGTGATTTGTGCCGTCGGTCAAAGTATCTGGAAATTTATGAATAGTGACAGATATTCGAATCTCAACTTGGAAGTGATTCAAAGGTTTTTGACACTGTGCGAGTTCGAGTCACTTCCAGAGTGATTTAGAATTCTCAAAAGTATCGATAAATCTTCAATCTTTAAAGTTCTAATAAATCTTGAATATGCAAAGTTCCGACAAATCTTAAAACATCTTGGAAATCGTAAAAATCCTGGGAACTTATATAACATATTGAAAGAAGTCAAATATTTTCAACATAATAGATCAAAATCTCATATATTACATAATATAAGAGATCGTAGAAACTTTAAAAGCTTAAAACTTGTATGTACTCCAATATTTCGGAATGTGCCGTTACTTATGAATCACGGTGTACTCGCGTAATCGTCGAAAGAGGACTCCTTATTAACGCGAAGAAAAAGAACGGTATTACCGGAAGAGAATACGACACCGACCGCGTGAGAGCGCGATGTCGAAATCGAACGAATCGAAACATCGTGTAGTCGTGCAATGGCTGAGACGGAACACAGAAACGCTTCTCGCTCCGGTCTCAATGGGCAAACGTAAAACTTGATTCCGAATGCACTTTACTATCATTAGTTGCACGTGCTTCGCTTTCATTCACCTTGAGTCCCTCCCGCCAAATTCCTGGCGTTGGTAGTAAATCGAGCACGCGATTGGCTGTCATTTGCGTGTATCTTACCGCTGATTGGCTGGTATATACTCCCGTACATAACCGAGTGCAAGGCCGAAGTAAACCGAAGCCCAGGTCAGGGTACACGAACGATGTCTTCGACAGTTCGAACGAGAAGCTTGCGCAGACGAGACAGACTAGTTTCTGTTAACGATATCAACATGGCTGTTTACATGTCCACGCAACCGCTACTTTCAAATCGTGGCTCGCACATTATTCTTAATCGTACAGTCTTCGTATTCTACGTGTGTTTGTTTCTGACGAGAGGTACCGATCGAATTTTTTTTTATATTTTTAAATATTTGCTTTTCTTTTTTCATTTGTGTGAATATTATATACATACATTGATACATATACGTTAGTTCTCTCTATACACACGGTCGAGAAAACAGGATGTAGTTTATTCGTGTTCTTCGCTTTCGTATTTGTGTGTAAATGGGAAGTGGATGTATACACACGGTGTACAGTTGTGTCAGTGACTGGAACGACGTCTATTCATCCACTTGTCACATGCAGTTCTCTCATTGGTGTATACTCCATCTGCTCGCGTTTGTTACCCTTCCCCACTTCAGAGTTTCCTTGGTGTTCCGTTCATAAAATTGACGCGATGTTTACTTCCTGCGTAACCGCACGGAAGTCGGAAGGAATCGCTTCCGAGGATCTCTTTATGAGACTCAAAGGAATTCAAATTATCGTCGAGTGGAACATGTCGTTGTTAAATGACAAATCGTGCGAAATCATGGAAAGGTGTTTGATATTGCGTTAATAAAAGAGAGAACGCGAAACGTGTTGCTCTTTTTTTTTTTTTGTTGTTGAGGTTCTGACATAACGCGTGTGCTACCCCACGTGTCACGTCGCGCAAATACTTTATATTTATATTCTGTATATCTTAATGATATTGGTTGTTATTCTCGAGATAAACGAATGTCAATTACTGTGAGTGTGTTATGAGTGTCGTTATATTATGACATTAAAGGATATTTCATATCTAATAACATTCTTTGTATAGATAGTGATAGAGATATAGATAAGATTTTTTTGTAGAAATTAATTGAACTATTTTTAATATATCGATAAGTATTAAGTATCTTCATAGTATGATACAACGTAAGATAGGAATATAATATATTATGATACTGGATTTTTTAAAACAATTTGAATCCAATGAATTAAAATTTTGTTGCAGGAAGTACGAGTACTCCTCTGACTAACCATTATGTAAATGATGCAAATTATTACGACATCTCTAGCAACGATGACAGATCAGATCCCTTGGAGAAATTTTACTTAATTACTGGACAAAGGTGGCACGCAGATACTGTGCTGCCTATTCCTTTATTGCCATCTACAGAGGGAATGTCTGCTAGGTCTCATCATAGGTACATAAACAAAAAACTTTCTGTCTATTATTAACTATATATTAATAAATATTATTAACTCACATAGCAATAAATTTGATATCAATTTAAAATGCAATTTTTGGTAAACAGGATCCCACAGTCCATAACGGGACTGGATGATGCTGGAATGGATTTGCAAGCAGCTCAACTTAGTACCCGTACAGGTCAGGAGGTACGCTCCACTGCAAATTTATCATGGCCAGATTGGCAATTGCCTATGTTCGTAGTACTTTGCGCCATCGGTGGCGCTATTCTCTTTACATTCCTGGTAAGATTTCAATTCTATATCACCCATTGCATATGGTTGGGCAAGATATTTATGTCTAATTTCATTTCTCTTTCAGGTTTTGTTATGGCTGCGGAAACAAATGTCGCGTGAAAAAGATACAGAGGATGGTGACAGGAGAGGTTTGGTAGAGGAAGGTGCTGTAGGTCATCCAGAAAAGCCTATCAAGCCTGCAAAAGGATCAATTGAATGGGTTCATCAACCTGCAGCAAAACCATCCATTCAGTCTGTTCAGACTGTCCAATCAGTCACACAAGCTACTGGTTTACCAGAGGCATGTTCCATTATTTAGAATAATGTAGATAGTCGTCAAGTAACAACTACAATATTAACGAATTCCTCTATCCTTAGGTAATGTCGGTGGCAATACCAGAACGCAAACCGGAGCCAATATGTATAAAAGCTAAAGGATTATTGGAACGACGTGGATCAAGCGCAAGTTTGACTATAGAATTGGCACCTCCTCCGGAAAGTCCACCACACATTGTCACGCCTACCCGCGAATGTACCGCGGAGGAATTTTTATTAAGTGCCGGAAACGTTCTATCAAGAGCCCAACTTAAAAAAGCAATCAGTGATCCAGCATCATTGCACAAAGAGTTTTGGGAGGTTCCTCTCAACTTACCTGAGAAATTAGATATTTGTGGATCCGGGGTGAAGAATAGGTATTGTTCCGTATTACCAAACCCACAGTCAAGGGTGGTTTTACCGGGTTCTGCTGATGATCCTCTTTCTAGTTATATTAACGCCAATTATATTCGGGTACGTACGTTCAAGACAAAATGGAATACACAAAAATTGAAGTTATTTAAATATACAAAATTTCAATTTAAGTTTATCGATTTTAATTTAACAGGGTTATGATGGGGAAGATGTTCGCTATATTGCAACGCAGGGACCATTACCTCACACTGTGGGTGATTTCTGGAGAATGGTCTGGGCAGAAAAAGTACCAGCGATAGTTATGATGACGAAGCTATACGAGGCCGCTAAAACAAAATGCGAAGCATACTTTCCGCTGGATAAAAATAATCGCATACAAAGTGGACCGTTTACCATCATCGTTAACTCTATCGATACGAGAGAAGGTTACATAATCAGAGATTTAGAACTTCGATACGAAGGAGACAGAAGACACGTGCAGCATTATTGGTAATTAGATTAAATTTGCTATGTTTTGGTTATTTCGAGTGGTGCTATTAAAGCACTTAATGTAATACTAACAAACAATTATAGGTATGATTCATGGCCGGACCATGCCGTACCTCAAGCTGCGGATACCCTTGTTAGTTTAGCCGCAGAAATAAATTCTTTACCAGGTCCGGTTATTGTTCACTGCAGTGCAGGAATTGGACGAACTGGTTGTTTCATAGCTTTAGCCACAGGAATGATACAGCTATTAAGAGATGGAAATGTTGATGTATTGGGTATTTTATGTCAAATGAGGTACAAGATATTTTCTTTTAATTAAACTGAAATCCGGCAATTTAATTGCGAGTTAAATTATATGTTGCTAGATTTAAATATTTAAAAATTACATCTTTTTTTTAGATATGACAGGGGCGGTATGGTTCAAACGGCAGAACAGTACGAATTCGTTCATCGTGCACTTTGTCTGTACGAACAGACGCTTGATGGTGGTAAAGCGTCGAGTTCAGGGGATTGAAACCATAAATAACGCGATTGTGGGAATTGATAACAGTTCACTAGAAGAAAAAATTTGTTTGAGAATTACTATGAAAAGATTTACGAAACGACTATGAGATATTGTCTGCAACATATTACTTCGTCCAGGTGTGAATATCTATACCATGGAGGAAATTCTATGGAAAGAATCTCAACTTTAGACCAGCGGATGTCTTATCTGACTTTCAGCTATTCAAGATGAGTTATGTCTCACTAAATAAGCTGCCATTTCTATACTGCCATGACGAATCGTTGACAATTAATATCAGTCACAAAGCTCAAGACAAAGATAAACGGTTTATTGACTCATGTTCTAAAGAATACGATATTCTTAAACGGAATTAAAACTGTTTGACTAATGAAAAAAAAACATTTCAATTTGACTCACGAGATATCAGGGTTTATCTGAGTATCGATTCAGATTTTTATGCATTCTCTATGTGTTACAAATTAGATTTGTCAGTTATAAATACTTGCATCTATAATATTCTCAGAATCCTATACTTTCTACAAGCAGTTCTTTGTTAGCTTTCCAATGCAGCAAACTGTTACAAAATTGATGTTGCTGTCTAATACTACAGTTAAAGAAATGAATGCTAAAAGCTGTTAATGATTATTTCAAAATGAAACCATATATACAGAAAAGCAAATTATTATAAAATTGGGACCCACGTCGATTAAAATATTTTTATCCTATTTGTAGTTCCTAGTTAATTTAACGGTAAAACTTATACGCTGATTTCCATGACTTTTAATTAATTTATCAATAAAGACTGAATGCAGGTAGTACAATATGTTTATTATATAAGTTATAAATCTAACTAGAGATAATATGTTTCTCTGATCCAAAACAAAATCCATGATGTTATAAGATCGTAAGAAACGTAGTTTTACTTGAAAAAAGAAAGGAGAAAAAGAGATAGCAAATTGTAGGACGGATTTGTTGATCTGAACCTCGAAAAGCAAACTATCGATTCCTCATATAGCAAAGCAAGGTTATAGTTGTTGTATAACATTCTCTCTAAGTATTATGTACAAAACTATAATTATTTATTCTGTTTACTGCTTGAATAAATTAATATTTAATGAAATTCCAATACAATGTTATGAATTAGTGACTAAAGGAGCCATTGCTTTTTTTTTCTTGATAATAATCAGTTTGCTCGGTTGAATATTGTATTAGTCTATAGGTGACAATAAGTGTGGTTACGAGCTTCTAGGGAAAATTTGAAAAGAACTTATTAACAAGAATGGCAATAGTTTGAACAGAAATGTCTCTCTGCATAGAAATATTGCATATAACTCGATTTCGACGTTGTATCAAAGTTATTAATATTCATTACTATCGCATACCGTTACGAGATATATTGCAGACTCTGTAAGATCTATGATTATCGATCGTTGTAATGGAATCTTTGATTCGTTCTTTTTTTATAATTAATTCTCACCGTAATTCCACTAAGTTGTGCGTTTCGATTTCAGACTGTTACAATTGTATGCAATTTTGACAATTGTCTGTATGGATATGCCGTAGCGAGTTCAAATGTTATTTTAAGATATTCAGTCTGTTAATCGAATGTGTTATAACATCAACTATTCGAATTGTCGATATAATGCCTCAGAATTCTTCTGTTTTGTAAGTGAACAAGTGTGAACGTGTATTTTTGAGCGAAAGATTGTGATATGTATACATATATACTAATATATATACATATATATACTTGTACATATGTTGTACAGAGAGCAAAATATATTTAAGAGACTATGTATTTGTGTAAGCAAATTGAGAGTAAATTATTTATGAGTATACATATAAAGCCTTGGGCAAACTTTAATGTAAACGTATTAATAACGTAACGATAACAATAACAATAATTTAGAAACCCTTTGGTGTTCAACTGTACTTATGTGACGTAATAAATGTTTATAGTACCCATGCAATGTTTATGTGTAATTTTTTGGCAAAGTGGAGTACTATCGCGGCCACGTATGTTGAATTTTGTTTGCGAAGAATTATTTGTAATTATTATGATTTTATAATAGAATTTTATTGAGTTATTTTCTATGTTTATTCAAATTCCTATACTTTACCGACAAATTATTTGTATACTTATTTCCAAAAATAAAGTCCGTTAAATTCAATTCGTGGATTCAACTCGTACTCCGCCATTTTGATTAATACATTAAAATATAAATTTCCGTAGAAAATGTTATCAAACGTTTGCATTATATGTACCATGAAATTAATTCAATCTGTAGTGTATATATTACAAAAAATGATATCAACGTTCCTCACATATCATCTGTTTAATATTCTCTAGATTATAAGAAATGTAATGTATGTATATATTATATATACAACACATGTGCTACGATCGTTCTACATAACTGTTACTTTGAGAAATGACATTGATCATTATTTATTAAGAATAAAATTCTATTTTTATAGCCAATCAGAAATTATTCTGTATTCTAGAAATCCCATTATACGTACTTACATATACTATCATTAACAAGTGAAAAAAATAAATAATCACGAGAACTACATTGCATTCTTTTCAAATATACAAATGAAAAATATATTAATAACTTACATATCTCCAAACACGTACAACTGATGACAAGGAATCCTTTCAATCTGCAGGAAATGTATTCGCAATTTTCAAAACAATCACTCCGACGTCAAATCCACTGATTTCGTTTTACCGCGCGAAACGCCGTTAAGTTCGGTGCCGCCATCTTGAGTCGTACAAATCGCTTCATCGATATTCAGCTTCATTTACGCCTCTTTGCGCCTTAAAATCACCATATAAATTGTTACAGCGTTTCAACGAATACATCACGCAATGATATCTTAAGTAACATCGACCACTCCACAACGAAAACTCGAATCAACAACCATTAACTACAAAATCAAAGGACATTTTCACGAGCGAGCGACGATGCGCGGTTCTTTCAAACCTTGCAGTTCGAAGACTGACGCGTATCACGTGACCAGCTCGTTCTCGGCGCGACATGCACGGGGCGCGTTTGCATGTATTACGTATTGTGTGCGTGTGGTATCGGCCACGGAACTGAAGTTTAGTCCGCGCCTCGGGATTCGACACGGCTCCTGGGTGTACGAGTCAGCAGTAGAATAACGCACGGAGAAATCGTTTCGTTGAATTCAAAAGAATCAAAAGAAAAAAAGAAAAGGAAGAACAAAAAGGACGATATACAAAAGTTGGTTCAAGTAGTGACTTCTTTCGGATACTGTATTGGATTAATCTTTTTCTCCTTTGCGATGCTTTCATTGTCGTTCACCGTGTCGATTCTCGACGTCGATCGCTCGTAGATCGTGTCGCTGCGTTCGAAGGTGCGAGGAAACACGGAGTGACCACACGGAAGGAGTGAACTTATCTTATTTGGTGAAATTTCGAGAGAAACATACGATTAAAAAGAGACAGACAGTGCAACCGCGAGACTGAGAATAACAGATAGAAAGGCGACAGAGAAGGAGGCAGAAAGAGAAAGAGAGATAGAGAGAAAAACGGAAGAGAGTTACATTAAACGTTGCGTACTATGTGGGACGTCGCGTCGAGTGACATTCTAGCCTGGAGACAAAATGGGGCCCGTTGATCGGGCCCGGAAGATCTCAGGGGTCCGATTATCAACGGAGGTATGGATGTCATCGGGGACGGGGACGAGCAAACCCTCCAGGCGATTCTCGGTGAGTACCATCAGAGTTTCGTTTTGTTACCGCTTGTGTTTCGAGTGCATGATATATGTATAAATTGCAAGCGTTCACCAGTCAGCTCGGTGGAACGGTTCGCGACGATTGACAAGCATGACAGCCACGGGAATGTCGCGGATCCCTAGCGTTCGCCATATACCTTGCATTTACCGTGTGCGCCATACAAATGCGTTCTTCGGTTGCTTCGAGTTCCCCGTGCATTGACCTTAAACGCACCGGACACGGTTCATCGTGCGTTTTCGTCTTCCAGCCTCCTTACTCTCAAACAGATGACCAGATAAACAGCGTTATCCTGCTCCAGTTTGACCTTACCCGGTCTGCGTTTTTTCTCTTTCTTTTCTGCTCGAATATTCTAGAGTCTAATAAGCCTGTTCCTTAGTGATGCAGAGTATGAAAATGATCAGAGAAATTTCTCCTTATTGCGAATTATTCTTTGTTGGATTTTATGTAGATACTTTTGATCGTAGTATGGACGATCAACGAATCAAGTAGTAAATATGGAGGAGTTTGTTTTTAACGGAGATACTTCAAACAGTTGCAAGGCTAACCTTTCGTGACATAGGTAAACGAATATAGCGGAACATTATAGTATCTTTATTTTTTTTATTAAGTTATATAAAAATATAAGTATATTTTACTAACTTATCATAATTATCATAACTACTATGTACTAAAACTACCCAAACCAGAAATATCTTATACATGTAGTGTAACTGAATAAAACTATGTAAGAACACAGATATTTCTAAAGATAGCGTCGATATAGATCCAATTTAGATGTACGCTAGCGTGGTAGGTGTGTCGGTACACTGGAGTTGTTGAATAATTCAAATATTGTTGTCGCGTAGTATCATTCATAGATTCTTCCTGAATCGCTTGAATTCGAAGAATTCTGTTTGCAAAATGCTTAGCTCGCTCTGATTGATCTTCAAAGGAGAGTCGTGTGCCTACGTGGATACATTTACCCTACTTTTGCCTTGACTGTGCAGCTCCCCTCCATGCTCGCGGAAAAACCGCCTTCACATACCTGTTACACGTTTAGTTCAATGCATCGTGCTGCATCATTTCTTGCCATTATTCCACTGTAACTATGCAACAACCGCTATTATACTCTTCCCCTCGGAACCAAAACTCGTATGAGTCATCGTGTCTCTTAATTTCGTAAGAAGTCACGTTAAGTCATCCGTACCAAGCATCGGTCGAAATTAATTCATTAAGGATCAATGATGCGTTAATGCAACATTTCATTCGTAATTTCCGTTTCTAGTCAATCTATATAATTTAATTTAGTTTTCTGGCATTGTGGTTACGAAATTACTATTTCTTCTTCTAATAATCGTCACTAACTTATGCGTGTTCAAGCAGAATTCAGATTTTTACGACGATAGTTGAGAAAATGAAACTAATTATATACCCGTACACCCTTTACATTATTTACGTCTTTATAAATGCATAAAAATCTCTACTACGTTGTAAGTTGTATCTTTTAAAATTAGGTTTTTTTTCTGTAAGATATCCATCGTCATAAAACGTTTCTTTCACAATGATAAAATGGCGTAATCAGAATAAAAAATATTTCGTAGATATGAGAAATTTAAGTAAACTTTGAGTCATCGGCGAAATATGTAATAATTATCTGTTATATAGCATCAGC